TCGGAAGTCATTTTTTTGGAATGCACGCGTCCATTTTTTGGCTCGTATTTAATTTGTGGGTTATACAGTTGATATTAATAATTACTATGCTATGTACAGTTTGGTTGCAAAAGGTGTCTTTCATTCCATTGTAAATTGAGCCTATGCGGCACTCTATAATTTTTATTTATTTATTTTTATTTATTTATGTATTAATTTACTTATTTTTTAATTTTTTTATTTATAACTCATAGAAGACTTGCAGCTTATAAAAATGGATAAAAATAACAATAAGCGTAGGTAACAATGAGCCAATTACAAGTCCACACGTCTAGGATTTTGAATAAATCCTACTATAATAATATTATAAATGCGAAAGTTTGTGAGGATGGATGTGTGTGTGAGTGTGTGGATGTGTTTGTTACTGGTTCACGCAAAAACTACTGATTGGATTTAGATGAAACTTCACAGTAATGTAGGTCATACATCAGAATAACATACAGGCTACAATTTGTAATGACTTTATGTTATTTTGGACGTAATATAACACAAAATGTTAGCTAAATCGGGTCTCTGAGACCTATATCGGCGTACGCTGCCTAAACCATAGGAGTTACACTAAGATAATGTACTGTAAGATTGTTTGTCTTGATTAGTTCTAAATAAAAGTCTGCGACGGCATATTTCTACCTTTTATGTGGAAGTCACTGCCGATATTTAAGAATATTAATTACGATTTATCTGAAAACGGACAACTGATAGGTAACATTACTATGGTAACCAACCTGATGATTTAAAATTGTTATGGCGTCCTACTTCCATAGTAAATTTTGGCATCAACAGACAAAAATGAAGTTCTGTGGGTTTTCAAGGATTAATATCAGTATTCAGCTGCATCAGGGATCAGGGATTTTAAAGACAAAATACGAATTCAATTGACTGAATACAATTTATTCATAGACTAGCCTCTGTCTGCGGCTTCTCTCGCGTTCTTTTAATGGGGTGAGGGAAGGATTTACAATAAAAAATGAAATAATGCACGATCTTATGCTGGTCACAAATAATCCGCATCCCAATTTTTAGCTTTCCACATTGAAAATTACAAAATACCCCATACAAACTTCCACATCGGTTTCAGGGACGTGGAAGGAGGTTAAAAAAAGACAAAAAGTAGCCTATGATACCCTCCATCCTTTCAACTATCTCCAATCAAAAACCTTCCTGACTCCGTTCTGTCGTAAAATACTGACCAACAAACAAACAGGCACACACAAGTTTATAATATTAGTATACATTTCCTAGGTCATCTGATATTTGTGTGACAAGGTGGTGACAAGTGAGTTTACAAAGTCAATGTGTCATAGTTTTTTTAAGCTATGATATTAAGGTATGCAAAGAGGTTGACAACAGTCTAAGGAGATAAAACCACGAATAAAATATTTTCAGCTAGCTTGAATTCGTATTTTGTTATATATCAAAAATTGCTCAGACCTGAATTTTTTTAAAACGTTTCCCCACACTAGGTTTTTCTCCTACACAAATATACAGGTTCACATACACATTACACCCATACCCGGAACAACAATCTGTGGATCACACAAAGAGTTGTGTTCCGTGCGAGAATCGAACCCGCGACGCGTTCCGCGGCAGTCAGTTGCCCAACCACCGCGCACACCGTGCAGTCAATGTATTAGTCCTTTTCATTTTAGACCGTCAAGACCAAATTCACTATGATAGTTTGCTGTTGTTTTATGGCATAACCCTGTAAACGAGCAGACGGATCACTTGATAGTAAGCAATCCGCCCACGGACACCTGAAACACCAGAAGTGCTAGAAGTGCGTTACCGGTCTTTTGGGAATTTGTAATTTGAGGATTGTCAGGGATTGTGGAGGCTGAAGAGGGGGGAGGGTGTAATTGGGCCTCCGGTAACCTCACACGGTGAAACACAACGCGATTCTCCTTTAGGTAACCGAGGGCTGGACTCGCTGTCATTGCAGCGGTAAGTCCCCTCTTTAAAAAGTGGCTTGAGAGACGCTACGGCGTCCTCACCTCCCGCCAGATGCAGGTGTTTATCGGATACGGGAGTGTCGGCAGGTGTCTGTTTCGGATTGGGCGGGAGGAAACGCCCGGGTGTCATCACTGCGAGGACCACCCGGAGAACACGGTGGAGCATACCGTGGCGGTGTACCTTGCGTGGGCTGAGCACCGCCATGTTCTCAGGGATGTAGTCGGCGACGGTGACCTCTCGTGTTCGGCTCAGGTTCAGGCCATGGAGCAAAGGCCAAATATAACCTAGGTACTGAATCGATCGTGATGTTATTTTTTCCAGTTGTACAGCCGTAGAATATACCTTGACAAAGACTAATTTAAAAACCCAATTTATACCGAAGTCGCTATATCACGCGGACGAAATCGCGGGTAACAGCTAGTTCATTAATACGGTGTGCGTACTATACAAGATTAAAAAAATAATTATATATTCTGCGTAAATGAAGAATTTAAATTTAAACTGTCAAACACCAAACGGTCACCGGTGACCGCAACCTATTGTTCTATAATTGTGTCTACAAAACCTGTACTCGACGAGTTAAATATTGAAACATATACCATGCAGACAATATAACAGACCAAGTGAAACAAAAAAGAAATCTTTTGCTGCTTAAAAACTTTGAGGCTTAAGCACCTCTTTGCCGAGTTCACACTAGTTGTAAACGGACCGAGGTCATATTCCTTACAAATATCGTTAAATTGTCTGCTTGCACGCATAATCTAACTGTTCTGCCTGTAGTTAGATGAGGAACACGATATATGTAAAGGAGGATTAAATCTAAATAGTTTATTAGGCACATTAAATTTGATTTTCGATAATAATTCTGGACTATCCACCTTCAACAAGAATAGACAATCTGCAATGTTGCGTCGTTCTACCAATTATAACAGATGGAATTTTCTACAGACTTGAACTCTAACTGTGATAACGAGTAGACTGATATGGTACATTTTGGTGAAAACAGAGATATTTCATAAAACGTTTTTGAATGTCAAGTCAATACATTTCTGATATCTTGGATTCCATACCTAAGACGCATGCACCAGCTGGCTCCTGACATAGATGCAATATAGTATTTTAAGGGTCTTTGCATCAGTGAAATTTTTTGAAAGACGCATTATAAATCCAAATTATTTAGCGGCCTTTTTGACGATTGCATCGATATGTTTACCGAAAACCAATTTACTGTCTTGATGGACGCCTAAGTCACGGATAGTAGTGCACCTCGGTAAGGGCTGACCTGCTAGAGTATGCGCTCTCTAGTGTTAGTAACTACGGAACACTTAGTTGGATTGAGATTTAGCTTATTAATCTGACAATACTCTGCAAGGCGATGCAAATCCGCCTGGAGTGCCAGAGCATCATTAGGTGTTGAGATAGTAGCTAATAGTGTCATATCGTCATCAAAAAAATAAAAGTTAGGATATATGATAGCACTTGTTGGTGTCGTTCACATAGATTACGAATAAAAAAGGACCGAGCAACGATCCCTGAGGCACTCTGCTGAGCACATTTACCCAGCTATAAATGTAGTTATTGAGTACCATTGCTTATGACCTATTTATTGTCGATGTATGAAGCGAACCACCTCAACAGGTTACCGCTGATTCCTGTGTCAATAAGCTTCTGTAACAGGGTATAGCGGTCAATCCAATTTAACTATTTTTGTTTATCTTCGTGTATATAAATTAATATCACAAAACCAGAACGTGAACAGAAGTGTGGGACAGCCATGCTTCGTCACAAATGGCCGGCTCAACCGGAGTAATACCACGACTTCATAGAAAACCAACGTGAAGTAACGCTTGCGTTGTGTTTCGTCGTTTGAGTGAGGTTACTGGAGGCTCAATTGCCCTCCTCCCCTTCGCCTATCTCCTCAATCACTGAATTCCCAACAATCCTCAAATTCCTAATACCTAAAAGCCGGTGTTTATTGGTGATCCGTCTGCTCGTTTTCCGAGCTATCCAATAAAAAAACGACTGTTGTGAAATCAATTATTTTATACTGATCCCTAAAGAAGTGGATATATGTTTTTTTTTTGCGTATAACTGACGCAATTGCGTAGCTGGGTACTTCTTTGGCGTCCTTCATGTTTATGATGTAACATACAATCGAGTCAACTCCACATTTGGCCTTTATAAATGGTCTCCTAAATGAGATTAGTGTAATAAAATGATTAGTAGTAAAGTTGTGCCTTTATATGTTTCATCTAAAATTCAACGAAATATTTATCTTAGATATTATTCTAGCTATGCAAAGTAATGAATCTAAGCGGTGGCTAATTTTTCAACCAAAATTTTATGTAATAATGAGTTGAAAATAATAATATTATACTATTTTTTTTTGTTGGACATTAAAATAAAGACTCAAAATTCGTTTTTTAAATGTCAAAATAAGAATTTAGATTTTTCTTTATTCATTACGTAAATGTAACTGGTTTTTGGTGGTTTTAAAAATATTCACCGGGCAAGAAGCTGGTCTATTATTTATGTATTCCTAAGAAATCTGTTTCAACGTTTCATTAGTATATGAGCATAATATCACTGATAGGTAGGAGTTATAATTATGTAATTTCTAAGATAATCTAGACACCACTGACAAACAATGAAGGAAAACATATTGAGGAAACCTGAACTCATAATTTCTAATTATAAGTTTATAATCGCCAACCCGCATTGAGCAAGCGTGGTGATTAATGCTCAAACCTTTTCCGTGTGGGAAGAGGCTTTGCTCAGCAGTGGGCATTTATAGGCTATTAATGATGATGATGATGATGATGATGATGATGATGATGAATGTGATGTAAGAAAATTTACTCCTGCCAAACAATTAATAAATAATATTATTAGTTCAACAAAAAATATTTAGACGTCAAGGTTTTCAAACCAGTTGAGCCGTATTAAGTAGATAGCAATCATTCATCCATAAATAGAAGATTTTGAATTCACATGGTTCAGAACGTCGTTGATTTTTGGAAATGTATATAGCAGTAGGATTGGTGTTTTTATGTTTCGTGGTGCTAACTGCGTGGTCGACGTGGTTCAGGCAGAAACCTGATGCACCTCCTTTGATGCCAGGCTCACTCCCGATTATAGGACATTCACATCTCATAATCGGAGACCGAAAACGTAAGTAGAATTTTCACGTTGATTTTTTAAAGTTTTCCTTCATGTTTTTAATCAAAGAGTAATTTTAATATGGCTTAGTAGTTTTTTAAAAGGAGTGATTTTATAATTACTTTCCGGTGTATCGTTTATTTTTTCTCTTTCCCTCTATTTAATTGAGTCGTTGTAGCTGTATACATATAGTTAGTAAAAATTATTTGAAATTAAATACCTATGTCCCATTATAAAAATAATAATATACATATTTTCTTTGGCGAAATAAAATAAAGTATATTATTCTGTAAGATTTAAGATGTAACTCGTAAAAAAATATTTGTGTATTATTAATATTTTCGCAATATGACTTAAATAATCTAAAAATTGCTTAACCTTAACTATCCTTAATAATGTCGAATCCTTACTAATATTATAAATCGGAAAGTGAGTTTGTTTGTTCCGCTTTCACGCAGTAACTACTAAACCGATTGCTTTGAATTTTGCAGACGTAAAGTTCGAAGTCCGGATTAAATAATAGGGTAGTTTTTATCCCGGAAAAATTTGATATTCCCGAGGGAAAACAAAAGTATTGGTATAGATGACGCTGTGTGTACTGGTATATATCACATAGGCTACTTTTATCCTTTTGTAACGCGAGCGAAACCGCGGGTAAAAGCTAGTGTAGAATATATATAACTATAACCCTCAGTTTCCTAACGATGTTTGCCTTCATTGTTTGTCGGTGGTGTCTAATTATCTTAGAAAGTAGGTAGATATAACTCAAAATATGTTACATTGGCACTGGCCGTTGGTAGGTTTTAATCAATACATAGTATAAAAGAAAGTCGCTTTCGCTGTATGTCCGTATGTATGCTTAGATCTTTAAAACTACGCAACGGATTTTGATGCGGTTTTTTTTAATAGATAGAGTGATTCTTAAGGAAGGTTTATATCATGCATATTGCACCCGTGCGAAGCCGGGGCGGGTCGCTAGTAAAAGATAAATAGAAAGAAAAGAAGAAAGAAAGAAAGACCATACATTTTTGCGCAGAACACACATAACATAATTAAAAAATAAAATAAAATTAAGCTAAAAAATGAAAAATGAAGTCTTGTCCATGGTCCACAGACTTATTATTTTGCTGAAATGATAGAATCCTTTTTTATATATAATTTTACAGTTTAACTCTCCACGGACTCTTTGTATATAATACGTCTAATCTATTTTTATAAAGTAAAGAACCTTCTTAATTCTTCTCCTGTAATTAGGTACCTACCTAATTACATACTACAATTAATCACATCTATAATTATTACTAAAGGTATAAATTACATAACAATTAGGCATTATCTATTTATATTTATTTCGACGGCTCTACGAAATCAGCCCACCAACAAGATGGGACAGCCGACCTGACCCAGCAGAAGGCACCCGTTCACGAGTATGACGTGTGTATCAGCAATTGGTCCGGTGAACCTTTTTATCGGGAACGGAACAACCCAACACACAGCGCCACCAACTGTAGGACATTTATGTGTGCATGACGCCTAAGCTTACAAATATCTTCATATTTCTGCATAGTTACACATTTCCCCATGTTGCATTCGTCTCATCACAAGCAACATTTCCCGCCCAAAAGAGCACCCACAACCGCCGCGTCCCTGCGTTTGATTGCCATTTTCAGGTTGTAGTCCCTAATCCCTTGCTCACTCTCACAAGCCGCCTTCCTGATTAGTTTGCTTATTGCGTCTCCGCTGTTGTCTGTGTAATAGATGCAACCATGCGTGTGATGCGATATTGCTACTACTGCGTGTGGTACGCTATCATGTACTTGATGTTTCTTCGTTGCTGTGCTCACAACAACCACATTCGCACACGAAAGTCCCTGTGCCTCGTGTATTGTGAGCACGCGTGAACCCACGGTCGCCCCGTATCCCTGGATCTTAAGGGCTTCCTTCTCTGCCTGAGTGTGTACCAGGTATAAAGTGTCGGGGAGCGATTTTGAAATCATCGCTCCTGTGAACTTTTTTATATCGAGGGATCTCACGAGCGACCTGGATGAGTATATGCCACTGTAAACTGTGCTGTGCGTAAAACAAGTGAAATAAGTGATTTCTGTGGGTTCACATCAATTCCTGGCTTATGGGTGTAATATATGTAGGGCGGCTGTAGAGCAGAGGGAAGAGGTTGTCACGATCTATAAACGGAAGCTGATTTATTTCACCAATTAGAAGGACTTCCTTGGCTCGAGTTATTCGGGCAGCCATCACAACGGCTCCAAAGTGGTTCATGAGAGCCTCATCTACCATTAGTCGATGGCAAGCCATTTACTAGGATGGACCCCATTGTTCGAACCCTAGATTTGACTAGTCCTCCGATTCGGCAGGATAGTTTGCCTCTGAAGTCATTTGCCGCTTCAGTTGTTGTGGTGACAATTAGATATTAGATAGATCTTTGTCCGCTTCAAATTGACCTACTATGGTAGAATACTTACTATCTAATATTATTTGTGGACCATAGACAAGGAACACCCTACTTAGTAATACTTACTTCATTTCTACTATCATAGTTGCATTTCATAAAATTGGGTATTTTTTTTTTTTAAGGGGGGAAAATCATCAAATGACTGCCCCCGCCTGGGTGAGGCGGGAGGGAGTGTCAGACTCTTACTGACTAAAAACCACCCCGTTCCTTCTCCTGCACGTCGAGCCGGAGCCCCGGTTACCCGTTAGGTTCATATTAAATATTCTTTTATAATAAAAGAATATTATTCATAACTGTTTTATAAATTTAACTGCCTCTAATTACATCGTTCATCAATTTAATAAACTGCATCATCGCTTACCACCAGGTGAGATAGTGGTCAAACGTCGGCCCATCAAATATAATAAAAAAGACGATTACCCTACAGATCTTATATCTTAAGTAGCAATCAAAAAATTGGGATTGACGAAATAATTTTCTCTCGACACCATTGATTATTGTATATGTCAAAGGAGACGTTATGAAGTGTACTCTAGTGCACGTTATATTAAAACTTGAAAAAGTTTTGTTTTTCACATATTTTGTGCTTGGTAGGTTTCGAAACGAACTCCTGAAATGCACTCTCATGTTTGAGAAGTAAACTTATGAATCATTTGTATTACTTACGTCATCATAATCCATTTTAAGCAAAATATTTGTGTATATGACTGCCTCGTTGGCCGAGTGATCGCAAGTGTGACTAACGGAGAAGGGGTCTCGGGTTCAATTCCTAGGTCGAACAAAATGCGACCGGTTTAAAAAAAAATCCTAGTGGCAGCACGGAGTCTGAAATTCTGCCCGGTATATGGTAATAGGCTCACCCCTCATTGGCTCACCCACATTGGACGCATAATATAAATAGTGAAAAGTGGGTGTTACATTGTAATGGCATTAAGTACCGTAATTTGAACCTCTGGCTACCTTTTCGTTGGTAAAAGGCGTGACGTTATGTTATTTGTATATATGCATAGGTAAATAAATTAATAATGTAATGATTATGCTGTTGCAAAATCTAGCACAGGGTCATTTATAATCGTATGTTTTTCGAAACGTTTTTAAGTATCTTCCGATGTCATGTCTTGTGAAACTTGATTCGCAAGAATTAAAAATTAACTACCCTTGCTTCTCGTCTGCAAACCTGCACTTACGATGGCCGGTTGCCGGCCAATCTCCGATGCCCAGAGTGTCTCCCGCGACGGCTGGAGCATGAGGAAGTTCTTTCTCTCACGCGCCCAGCTTCCTTCAAGGAGGAAGATGTAGAAGGATGCGACTGCATCCCAATCCCCCTAGCTCCATGGCCTGAACCAGAGCCGAACGGGAGAGGTCACCGTCGCCGACTACATCCCTGAGAACACGGAGGTGCTCAGCCCTCGCAATGTATACCGCCACGGTATGCTCCACCGTGATCTCCGACGGTCCTCACAGTGATGACACCCGGGCGTTTCCTCCCGCCCAATCCGAAACAGAAACCTACCAACACTCCCGTATTCGATAAGCACCTGCATCTGGCGGAAGGTGAGGACGCCGTAGCGTCTCTCAAGCCACTTTTTAAAGAGGGGAGTTACCGTTGCAATGACAGCGAGCCCAGCCCTCGGTTACCTAAAGGATAATTGCGTTGTGTTTCACTGTGTGAGCTCTTCAGCCTCCCCAATCCCTGACAATCCTCAAATTAACAATTCCTAAAAGACCGGTAATGCACTTCTAGCACATCTGGTATTTCAGGTGTCCATGGGCGGCGCAGATTGCTTACTATCAGGTGATCTGGCTGCTCGTTTACCGGCTTATGCCATAAAAAACAGCAAACTATCATAGTGAATTTGGCCTTGACGGTCTAAAATGAAACGGACTAATATTATTTTTCAGGTCTGTGCAATTTTTGATAAATAAAAAAATACGAATTCAAGTAAACTGAAAATATTTTATTCGTGGTTTTATCTCCTTAGACTGTAGTCAACCTCTTTGCATACCTTAATATCATAGCTTAATAAAAACTATAACACATTGACTTTGTAAACTCACTTGTCAGTGTCACACAAATGTCAGATGACCTAGGAAATGTATATTAGTATTATAAATTTGAAAATACATACTTATTATATATACAATTAATATCAACTATAACTAAATGAAAATATATACAACTTAAAATATAAATAACTATGAACTAAAATATTTACACCTTAAAAAAAAGGTAATAATAAATAAATAAGCTATAATAAGGCATCAAAAAAAAAATTTTCCTCATCATTATCGTGAGGTAGGGTGCCCAAAAGACTGGCAGCATTACCACGTTGAATGGCAATGCTTAACCTTTGTCCAAGGTTTCTACCTTGGACAAACGAAAAGCCAGCCCTTCGATCACCTGAAGTGTCAACCATCCTCTTTACAATATCTTTGTAAAGAAGATGTGCACTTGGGCCCCACGGCCCTAAAGTTTCAACCCCAAACGGTTCGAAAGCATAATTGCCAATCAGGCTATCATACTTTCGCCGTTTGAGGTTCTCGGCAGCAGCAGCGGCAGCACCGGCTCGACACGCTGAGTTTGGAAGATGGGATGGCGCCAGAGTATCAACGCAAGTGGCGTCCCATACTAAAGGCCTACCCATCTTCCAAGGGAATAATGACATACCGTCGGGTCTCTTGCCATCGTTGCGTACCAAGCCATTAGGGTATTATAAATTGGTATGTGCCTGTTTGCTTGTTTGTCCGTGTTTCATGACAGAACGGAGTCAGGAAAGTTTTTGATTGGAGATAGTTGAAAGGATGGAGGGTATCATAGGCTACTTATTGTTTTTTTCTAACCCCGTTCCACGTCCCTGAAACAGAGGTGAAAGTTTGTATGGGGTATTTTGCAATTTTCAATGTGGAAAGCTAAAAATTGAGATGCGGGTTATTTGTGACCAGCATAAGATTTTTCATTTTTTTTATTATTTGTGTTATATTACGCCCAAAATAACATAAAGTCATTACAAATAGTGGCTTGTATGTTATTCTGATGTATGACCTACATTACTGTGAAGTTTCATCTAAATCCAATCAGTAGTTTTTGCGTGAACCAGTAACAAACCCATCCACACACATATACACACACAACCTCACAAAATTTCGCATTTAAATTAGTAGGAGTAGGATATATATAGGATTGCATTTTCAAAATGTGTTTAGCTTAACCTTTATGTTTTTTTTATCAATATCATTAAATTCCGACATATAATGATGGCGGGTGGATCAGAGTAATGTACAGTTGCCGGCAACCTACTCCAATCTGTCAAATTTATTCATTGGATTTTCGACTTTACTTCTACAGTTAAAGATGTTATAGAGACATTCGACAGAACAGGATAAGTTTACCTGCTGGCTACCGTACTTATTATTTTGTCACTACCCCTTTTATTTGACCTTTGATTTGAGGGATGAAAATCATTAAATGACTTCTCCCACCTTGAGTTAGATGAGACCGTTCCTACACCTGCTCTGCAAGTCGGAGCCCCAGCCATTAGGCCTTCCACGGCTTCGTATCGGCATAAGCCTTACTGGCCCCATCTGTGGTGGTCTGATGGCTCTTTGAGGCATTCGCTCTCTCTCTTCGGCTCTTCGTTCCTACATATTTAATAACGCAGTGTGCAGCAACGCTCTCTGTTTAACCGTTACCTTTCAAATTGCGATCGGTTGTGCTCTTTTTCTGTTCATTTATTTTGTTATAATATGTCTCATACTGTTTGTTGCACATGCTGAACTGGTCACATTTTACCGCAGACTTGGGACATGAACTTGTACCTACCCATCAGTACCTATATACTAACGCTATACTCTGAAAAAAGAACGTTTTTCTTTCTTTAATTTTCGATCTCCGATCCAGTTTCCAACTGTAAGGTTATGAAAGCGCGTAATTTGGCAGTTGACCTTCACCGGTTATTGTTTATGTGATATGTGACGTCATTAAGACAGGAATTGAAACAAGGTAATATTTGAATTAAATTATCATAATTATCTCCGGTTTGGATGTAAATCAAAAAAGTGAAGCGACGACTTGTACCATGTCCTTATTTCGATTTGCACTTGGGAGCAACGAATCGGCTCAAGAGTTTTTGTCATTTTATTGATGTCTCCATAACTTAAAAAAATATTCCTTTTACAACAAAATACTCTCATTTTTAAAGCTTTTACTACATTGCCTTTTATACGATACTACCGACCCGCCCCGGCTTCGCACGGGTGCAATATGTATATACATACAAAACTTCCTTAAGAATTACTCTATCTATTAAAAAAAACCGCATCAAAATCCGTTGCGTAGTTTTAAAGATCTAATCATACATACGGACATACAGCGAAAGCGACTTTGTTTTATACTATGTATTGATACGTTACCCATTAAGAAAATACTTGTATTAGAAGATATTTATTAAGAAATGAAAAAGAAAAGACGCTATTGGCACCGTTTCTTTGCTCTTAAAGTGTACAAATAATATTTGCGTGTTAATAATACTACGGAACTAAACTAAGCTGGATTTTAAGGACATTTAGGGCTCGTACACAAAACTGGGATGCGACGTCGCATCGCAAAAATGTGCGAGTTCCGTCTACGCATCGTAAGAACTTGTGAATTGATTCGCATCGCGGAACAAAATTTTCTTTATTTCTTTATCCTGTATCTCCTAAACAATAACAAAAGTGCTCACTCCTTTTTAAGATCCATGTCACGACCTAGTTTTCAATTTAAAATACATTTGGGACGGTTGGCGGTCGTCGAAGGAATGGTCACCCTGGGAGACGCCTTGTCGCACGAAATCGCATCGCAGAAATTCGTGTCGTAAATTTTTGCGTTGCAAATTTGCGTCGAATCGCATCGCAGTTTTGTGTACGAGCTCTTACTTAATACGAAAAATAATATACGTACATACATTAGGCAGATGTTACATTATGACATTCTTTAACAGCTATTATTTTTCTATCTCGCTTGACAAATTAAAATTCTATACAAGTAGAAAATATAAAAACATAAAATGCTAAGAATAAAAATAAGTTGAAACTTATGCTCTACCTAGTTAATTATTAATGCTTATACCTACATTTATTAACGTTAATAATATTTCAGATCTCTGGCGCTTTATACGGCATGTCAACGAATCATCACTCGAGCATGACGGAGCAATTGAAGTATGGTTTGGCCCAAACATATATTACAGTGAGTAAACTTCATTATTATTAATTTTAACATAACATAACATCACGCCTTTTATCCCCGAAGGGGTAGGCAGAGGTGTACATTATGCCACTGTACAATGTAACATCCACTTTTCACTATTTATGTTATGAGTCTCATGTAATAGGGGGTGAGCCTATTGCCATATACCGGGCACAATTCAAGACTCCGTGCTACTACTGAGAATTTATAAAAACCCAGTAGTACTTTGCCCGATCCGGGAATTGAACCCGAAACCCCTTACGCAGTCGCACTTGCGACCACTCGGCCAACGAGGCAGTCAGTATTAATTTTCCTATTATAAATATAAGTACTGATACACATTTCAAGTGCAAGTACGAATTTCAAGCACAAAAGCATGCTTCAATTGAGTACTTGTCACTTAGTAGCATGTGTGTCGGAATGTTGCTCAAAATTAGCACGCTCATTTCAGGCATTTTGCGAATCGACAAGCATTCGATTTTTGAACATTTTTGAGCATACTCAATAGAACGTCTTTTAGCATGGCTATTTTATGCCACAATTTTTGTCTTCAATCATAATCTTAAAGTAGTATATATTATTATTAGTATCATTAAATTTTCAATGATTATCCGTCAATAATTTTACGATAATTTGTGTAGTGTGAACTCATAAATAAATTATCGCCGCTATAATATAATTTAATCTGATAACTATTATATGATACAAGGTTTTATTTAACTTACAATGTATGTGAGTAAAATGCAATCTTGCTACTAAAACAAGCACTTTTGAAGCAGTTATCTTCGAGCGATTCACATTACCAAAAGGTTTAGCTGCTTAAAAACCATAATATATTAAGTTTTTAATAATTTAGTCAAGAATAGTCCGCAAATATTAGAAATGTATATTTTTTATTATATTTATTTGTAATGTACTATATTCTATTCCAGTTATCACGGATCCAGAGGATTGTCTTACTCTAGTCAACGCATGCTATAGTAAACCTTACATCTATGGTTTTGCAAAGGAATTTTTAAATAATGGCCTGATTACCGCGGATGGTGAGTGTGATCTCATAATTTTATACAGATATTTTTATGGTATAACCACACAAATGAACAGACGGATGGACGGTTAGCAATTGGCGCCGTCCATGGACACCTGCAACACCAAAGACAAGAGCGTTGTCTAAATGCCTACGGGCCTTTTGGGACGTTAAGGATTTGAGAATTAAGGATTCGGAGATTAGAGAGATTGGGGTTACCTGGAGGGTCACTGGGCCTCCGGTAACTTTGCTCACACGGATGTTTCACTGATTTTTAACACAAGCAATTGCAGGAAGCTGGAGACAATTGTTTAAACGTGTAACACATGTATATGAAAAGGTTTAAGTTCAACATATCATTATAAACAAACAGTTTTGTCTAATCTAAGCCGCGCATTAACCATTGACCATGAGGTTGACGACCTTCCTACATCGAATTAATTTCTTTATTACGACTGCCTCAGTCATTTTGACTAATAATTTAGACCTATAAATTTATTATCAGTCTTGAAAGAAAACGTGCAATTATCTTCTTTACAGTTTCTATTTGGAAAAATCATCGTAAATTATTAAATCCTGCATTCAACCAGCAAGTGTTGAATACTTTTATCGATGAAATGAATGTGCAGTCTCGAAATCTCGTTGCAAATTTGAAGAATGAAGTTGGACAAGAGCCTTTTGATGTTCGACACTATTTAATTACGTTTACGCTATCAACTATTAGCCGTAAGTATTTATGTTTTTATTTTTTTATACCATAAGCCGGTAAACGAACACACGGATCACCTGATGGTAAGCAATCGACGCCGCCCATGGACACCCGAAACACCAAGGCGTTACAAGTGCGTAACCGGCCTTTTGGGAATTGGAAATTTGGGGGTTGTGGAGGATTCAGGGATTCGAGAGACTAGGGAGGGACGTAATTGGGCCTCTGGTAACCTCACTCACACGACGAAACATAACGCAAGCGTTGCTTCACGTGGGTTTTCTGTGAGGCCGTGATATCACTCCGAGCTGGCCCATTCGTACCGAAACATGGCTCTCCCACACTTAAATAGCTACCTATCGTGAGACATAACAAGTTAACTAAAAATTACGAGTTACTCTCGTAAATGTACTGAGAAAACCTCTACTAGTTTCAAGTCACAGAGGGACTTCTCCTCATGAGCAGTTTATATTAGTTTATACAAATGATGAGTATGGATCCTTTTTTAACTTTACTTAATTTACGGGTAAGAATGACTATTGTGGGTTTCATTGCCGTTTTAATGAATACCGTATGTACATAAAATCATTAATTAATATTTCAGGAACTTCACTAGGTCTAACAGCTCAAGAACAAACGCAAATAGACAGAGACTATGCGGTGGCTATTGAAAATTTGTTGGCTCTGTACTGTGATAGGTTCCAAAAAGTATGGCTGCATATTGGTTGTATATTTGACTGGAGTGCATTGAAACGAAAACAAGACAAATTAACGACAACACTGAAGAATATTATGAATCCTGTAAGTATAATGTTTTAACACATTAATAGTTTTTATTATAAAAAAACTGTGAGGTTGTTCTGACTGATTAGTTCAAACATCTATAATACTTTTCATCAAACACGTTGTACCAAGTACACGGTATACAATTCTGACCTTCGTTAAACATAAATTTGAATAAATAAATCGTGTTGGTTTAAAATGATTAATTGGTTTCTAATTTGCAATTCATATTTCGAAGTTAGGTAGGTATATGACAAACAACATCTTAGTTATGGCAAACCTTAATAGATAGTGTTACTTATTTATATCATATCAAGATAAATAATTAACATCTTGTCGATATAATGATATAAAAATCGTATTGTGTCTCGCGTAGTTCTACGCTCCAACATACCAGAGTTTAAATTAATTATTGCCGTGTCGATTAAAAATTGGGTAGTACCTATAGATTCTATAGGCTGATTTTAGTCTCATGCTGACCGTCAGCGCTTATAGCTTGGCGCGTAGTTTGACAGATGACGACCAAGCCGTAGCTTCATCCGTCAGCACTGAACGATTATTCTAAAACGCTCATTAGTAAATACTGTCTCGTTGGCCGAGTGGTCGCAAGTGCGACTGCCGGGGAGGGGGTCTCGGGTTCGATTCCCGTGTCGGGCAAAGTATTACTGGGTTTTTTTAATTTTTTCAGTAGTAGCGCGGAGTCTGGAATTGTTCCCGGTATATGGCAATAGGCTCACCCTCACTCACCTATTACATGGGTCCCATAACATAAATACCTAGGTAGTGAAAAGTGGGTGTTACAATGTACAGTGGCATAGTGTACACCTCTACCTACCCCTTCGGGGACAAAAGGTGTGATGTTATGCTCATAAGTAAGTAACGTAAGTTCATACGTTTCGGTTGTCAGCACCGGCAACTAACGTGCGATCAGCGTGACTCTAAACCCAGCCTAAAAGGAGTTTATAGGTATACGCATTTACCGAATCGTTTTTAGCTTCTAATAAGAAATTTTCAATCATGTTTTTTAATTTTACAGATTATACTTAAAAGAAAATCAGAGATGAAGACTAAAATAGAAACTACGCATTATGACGACACACCCGGTAATTATGACTTTAGTTAATTCTTAATACGACAGTTTGTATGTTTGTTATTCTTCACATTAAAACGGTTGACGGGACCGGCATCAAATTTACACTACAGAACAGGGGTCGATTATTGTCTAAAATAACACTTAGGGAACTGTATATTCCGCGGGATCACGGGCAAGGAAACTGGCATCAGCGAGTAACTATAAAATAATTTACCTCTAAATTTATTTATTAAATAGATACGTTTAACTGAACCACAGAGGGGTTCTTCCTGAAAAAGTAAATATGCTGTAATGTCGAATGACCTGTCGCCGTCAGCTTTCCGAACCAATATGCCCTTTAAACATTCAATAAAAAACCGGCAATGCACTTGCGATACCTCTGAGGTTGCGGGTGTCCATGGCCGGCGCTGATCGCTTACCATCAGGTGATCGGTCTGCTCGTTTGCCCCCTATTCCGTGAAATGAAAGTAATGTGACAATTGTTTTTGTAGGAAAATTTAAACCAGTTCTAGATCAGATGCTTCAAATGTCCCATGAGCAAGATGTATTCTCAGTTGATGACATCAGAGAACACTTAGATACATTGGTAGCAGCATCATATGACACAACCTCTTCAGCTTTAAGCTTCATACTATTGGTGATTGCGACTTATCCAGAAGTACAGGACCGAATATATAACGAGTAAGTTGCATCATTTAATTTAAAGGACTGATTTTGCCATTGCCAATTGGGATGATGGCAGGGTATGAATACTAAAAAATAATTAGTCCGTAAGTTAGGTAATGAAAAAGTATTAGAGACGTATTTTTTTATTTTGTCGTATAACAAAACAATACTTATATAAACTGAATCAAAGTTTCATGAAATGTACATAGAAGTAACGTCGCGCGAGATTTCAAATCAATATATCGTCGAAAATATACCCGTAAAGTACCAGACGGACATTAAAATAAAAATAAGGCATGTACGTTTCTGTTACTGCAACCGACGTATATTTTTATAATATTCCGATTAAAAAGTATAAAAAATAGTCCACTGACTAAACTTATTTATACTGAAACAGAATCGTTGAAACAGGATCTTAATGAACCAACAGAACTTTGCTCGTTTGACCAAACTGTGGATTTTAACTAATGTCAAATATAATAGGCATTAAGCCCGAACCGCCATTTTCTTTAATAAGTCCAAAAGTATGAAACAATAAACACATTTGCAAGTGCGACTGCCGAACAAGGGGTCTCGGGTTAGATTCCCGGGTCGGGCAAAGTATTACTGGATTTTTTAAAATAATTATCTGTAGTAGCACGGGAATTGTGCCCGGTATAATAGCAATATGCTAACTCCCTATTACATGGGACTTATAACATTAATAGTGAAAAGTAGGTGTTACATTATACAGTGGCATTAAGTGCTGTAATGCCCACGCTTTCGGTGATAAAGGCGAGTTGATGTTATATCATTATCTGAAAAATATTACCCATAAACGTGAGAGCACTTATAGTGTATACGTATAAGTGTAGATCACGTAAAAAATATAAACAAATAAGTTTGAAAAAATATATAATTTTCCATTGTCGTCTTCATAAACGCAAATTATATATTTTAAAATAATCAAGCTTAAACTGTCAAACACCAAGCGGTCACCGGTGACCGCAACCTATTGTTCTATAATTGTGTCTATAATGACGGTGCTCGACGAGTTAATAAGTATCATCCGACTAATAGACACATATTTTGTAGGATACAAGAAGTATTGCAAAACAAAGACGACGATTTTTCAAAACACGACCTACAGAAACTTGTATACTTAGAAGCAGTTATGAAAGAAACAATGAGACTGTACCCCGCTGTTCCAATTGTAGCCAGACAAATTGACGTGGATGTTAAATTGAGTAAGTATTTTTACATTGTAATAAGAAAATTTAATGTAATTGACAACTAAAATACTTAGTTTCACATGGGAATATTAACCATAATTTTGAAGAAACAAATACAAAGGCCTAACTGACTGAGACAGTAAATTCGATCAGCTAAACCCATTCATAATATTAGGATGGATATGTTTCAGAATGTTCGTGCATTTTTGTTTATATATCCAAGTATATCTAAGATAGACAATATCATTTTTTATACATTGACTGCCTTGTTGGACGAGTGGGTGCAAGTGCGACTGCCGAGCAAGGTGTCTCGGGTTCGATTCCCGTGTCGGGCAAAGTATTACTGGGTTTTTTAAAAATATCTCAGTAGTAGCACGGAGTCTGGAAATGTACCCGGTATATGGCAATAGGCTCACCCCCTATTACATGGAACTCAGAACATAAATTGTGAAAAGTGGGTGTTACTTCTGTGTGCACCTCGGCCTACCCCTTAGGGGATAAAAAATGTGATGTTATGTTATGTTATATCTAAGATAGACAATATCCGAGTTCTTTTTTTCTTTCGCATTTTAACTATCTTGCCCTCCAAAAACTTCCAAAAACTTTGTATTAAACATAGACTTTATCTCATTTAATTACAGAAAACTGGACGGTACGCGCCAACACAACTGGTATAATTGGTGTGCACTCTCTTCACCGCCACCCTCTCTGGGGTCCTGATGCAAATGAATTCAAACCAGAGCGCTGGTTGGATCCTAGCCGCTTGCCTGATAATCCCGTCCTCTTTGCTGCCTTCGGTATTGGCAAACGAAACTGTATAGGTAATTATTATACTGACTTCTTAATTCTGTTCTTTGTCTTTAAGCATGTAAATAGCTGTTAAATCTAAATTGAACCACTTATAGAAAAGTCCGATTAATATGCCTTTGGCTTAGTTAACTGAAATTGCGGGTTAATTGCGTGAATATACAGAGAAAATTTCTACTAGTTTCGAATCACACAGCTCAGTGAGCTACACGACGACGTCGCCGCAACCGCGCACGTTGCTCATGAGGAAGAGCCTCTCTTTGGTTCGAAACTAGTAGAGCTTTTCTCAGTATATTCACGTGAGCAACCCGTGATTTTAGTTAATTTAGTATGTCTCATGATAGTTATTATAAAAACATGCCTTTGGTCGCTGATAGGAAACTGGGTAAGAAAAATCCTCTTCTAAGGTCGTTGGTCAACATTGTTCAATAAGAATTTCAATGCGTTAACACTACTGCTTAACGCACTTTCAAATAATATAATTTTTTGTACCTACAACTGTACAACATTTAAACATTGTTCTATATCTTTTTAGGAAAATTGTTCGGGATGCTGATGATGAAGACCGCACTAGCACACATAGTACGACAATATCACATTTCTGGGAGCATCCATAATGTAGAATGTGAATTTGATGTAGTTTTGAAACCTGTAACTAATCAACATATCCAATTAAAATTAAGGTCATAGGGTTGTACCAAAAAGGCTGTATCATAGATTAAGATTATAGGACTTAAAGTAATTATTAAATAATATGTGGCGGTTAATTAGATGATAATATTATTATTATAATGTAATATATATGTCTATTTAAAATCACGCTAGTGTGTTTTAAAAGAAATTATTTTTACTGTTTCTATTTATTTTATCCTGTCACTGTCATCCTGTCCTCCTTACACATTCTGATTATATACCATCACGTAGGTATGTATCATATTTTTTTGTGTCTTTGTCTAACCATACAATCTTGCTACCATTCGTGCGTCACTGCATGGGTGCCCACTGAAAATCAGTGCTGAGTGACTTGTATGCCTAGCTAACACTGAGTGGGTGACCGTTTTAGCATAGGCATGTTGTCAGCGTGTCTCTTCTAATTCTACTGTTTTATTTTTTCAACTCAATGTTTTTATTACCTACTTTCACTGTCATACCTTTATACCTCTATTTTACTAGCTGTTACCCGCGACTTCGTGAAATAGCGAATTCTGTGTAAATTTAGGTTTTAAATTAGTCTTTGACAAGGTTTATTGACTGTAACAAATATCATCACAATCGATTTACTAGTTGGGTTATATTTATAGAGAAATGAATTTATTTTCGTGGTTTCAAAAATAAACAATAGTTAATAAAAAATTGTTTCCGTTCTTCTAAGATTTCCTCTCTCTAATAATGTACCCGTGCGACGGAACTATTACAAAGTTTTAAATGAAAAAAAAAAGTATTCTAGCATTGGGTTAGATATATGTATATGATACGTGGACTTTTATGTTGATACTAATGTCCTCTATAAGGCTTAATACATCCCTTGGCTCTATTGTCCATAATTTCTACAGCGTAATCAATGCCAATAATATAAGGAGTTTATTTGGTAGTTTCTTACACTTCGGGTTAACATTACTCAAAAAGACTTTTTTTTAAGGTTGGAAAATCATCCAATGACTTCTCCCGCCTTACTGACTACTTATTTACTCTTACTGACTAAAAACCACCCCTACTCCTGCTCTTCGAGCCGGAGCCCCGTCAACCCGTTAGGCTTTCCGCGGCTCCGTATCGAGCATCAGCATCAGCACGGGACTGGTTCCGGTCCGGTGGCGAGCTGCTCGTATCGCTTCATGGCCTGAACCAGAGCCGAACGCGAGAGGTCGCCGTCGCCGACTACATCCGCATCGACCTACATCCAACACCGCCCAGCCCTCGGTTACCTACTTTGTGAGAATTGCGTTGGTTTGTGAGTGGGATTACCGGAGGCCCAATTACTCCCCCACCCCCTCCTCCTCCTTAGTCTCCCCAATCCCCTACCATCTTCAAAATCCCAATTCCCAAGAGACCGGTAACGCACTTCTAGCGTCTGTAGTGTTTCAGGTGTTCATGGGCGGCGCAGATTGCTTACCATCAGATGATCCGTCTGCTGGTTTACCGGCTTGTGGCATAAAAAAACCAGCTAACTATCATAGTCAATTTGGCCTTGACGGTCTAAAATGAAAAGGTATTATAATTCATATCTGTACAATTTAAAGAGTGGGAGAGCCATGCATCAGCACGAATAGGCTGGATCGACCGGAGTGAAACCACGGCCTCACAGAAAACCGATGTGAAACAACCCTTACGTTATGTTTTGCCGTCTGAGTGAGGGTACCGGAGGCTCAATTACCCACAATCTTCCCAATCCCCGAATCCTCCACAATCCGCAAATTCTCAAATCCGTACCGGTACCGCACTTGTAACGCTTTGATGTTTCGGATGTCCAAGGGCGGCGCCGGTTGCTTATCATCAGGTGATCCGTCTGCTCGTTTACCGACATAATGCCATTAAAAAAATTGTTTTTTGAATAATAAAAAAATACGAATTCAAGTTAAATGAAAATAACTTATTCGTGGTTTTATCTCCTTAGACTGTTGTCAACCTCTTTGCATACTTTAATATTAATATCATGATTCATGGTATCAAAAACAAAAACTATGTCACATTGACTTTGTAAACTCACTTGTCACACAAATGTCAGATAACATAACATAACATCACGCCTTTTTATCCCCGAAGGGGTAGGCAGAGGTGCACATTACGGCACTTAATGCCACTGTACAATGTAACACCCACTTTTCACTATTTATGTCATGAGTCCCATGTAATAGGGGGTGAGCCTATTGCCATATACCGGGCACAATTCCAGACTCCGTGCTACCACTGAGATTTTTGAAAAATCCCAGTAATACTTTGCCTGACCCGGGAATCGAACCCGAGACCCCTTGCTCGGCAGTCGCACTTGCGACCACTCGGCCAACGAGGCAGTCAAATGTCAGATACTAATATTATAAATTTGTATGTGTCTGTTTGTTTACCCGTCTTTCACGGTAGATCTGAGTATCGATCCTGATCTGATGAGATCTGAGTGAGTATTCGATTTACTTATGACCAGCAAAAATCACAGCCAGACAGTCACAATGTCTAGTCCATTACGTTAATGCTTCCCTATATTATAGATTAGCGGTTGAATTACCCGGAGAATTATACAAAAAGTTTTTTGTATTTTTTCTTTGAGGCATTTTTAAGGAAAATATCAAAGCAATATACAAAACCGACAAAATTTTAAAGATCGGTGCATCGAACAGTCTCGTATGATAGCAAATTGTCTGTTTTTTATTTTATTTATTTATTTATTTAGTCTTTAATGTACACAATTTGATTATGGCACATAAGGCGAACTTAATGCCATATGGCATTCTCTACCAGTCAACCTTAGGGTTTAAGCAGAAAATCTGCGAAAAATAAGGTACGGAGAGGAAAAAAATAGAAAAAAAAAATATGGGAATTATTAAATAATATAGCTATAGCTGTTCGTGATCACGTCTTAACGATTGGCACTAATCAAACTCAGAAGTAAATACTTCTACTTTAAGGATGATACGTATTTACTGGTACAGGAATAAATACCTAGTTTGAGCTTATCAGGACGCATACTGGGTATGTAAGCAGAAACCCGGTCCCTATTCGTTCCGTTCGTATTCATGATCTTTGATCTCGTGTAAAATGCCGACATCGTCTAGAGTCTAGACAGTAACGCATCGGCCAGGGTTGTCAAAAATATGAGCTTATGGCACCAACTAAAAGTCGGTCAGTGGGTGAGTAAGTAGTAATATGGTTATTTTTTTGCTTTTTAGTTGTTACTTTTTATTTGTTTTTAGTTTTTAGGTTTTTTGAGAAGTCGGTTTTTTAAACGCAGTTTCTTTTTTATTTTATCATTTTTAGTGTAAAACTACATAGACCCGTTTTAACCACTTATAATCTACACAGGTGCAAAGTTCTAATCAATACAAATTATACAAACCCAAACACAATGTAGTTACGTGAAAACGAAACCCATGATGATAAATTAAAAGTTTCGGGCAGCGGCCATCTTGGATTGGCATTAGACAACATTTTCACCATCCCCGAAAACCATGAAAACAATACCCATGACGATAAATTTTAAAAATTTCGTGCAGGTGCCATCTTGGAATTACATTTTGACAGCACCAACGGTTTTACCACCTTCGAAAACCATGACAACGATACCCATGACGATAAATTAAAAATTTCGTGCAGTCGCCATCTTGGATTTACATTTTGACAGCACCAACGGTTTTATCACCCTCGAAAACCATGAAAACGATACCTATGACGATAAATTAGAAATTTCGTGCAGCCGCCATCTTGGATTTATATTTTGACAGCACCATCTATTTTACTACCCTCGAAAACCATGAAAACGACACCCATGACGATAAATTGAAAATTTCATGCAACGGCAAACATACATAAAAAAGAAACAATCACTCGAACATAGTGCCTCCTCCTTTTTTTGAAGTCGGTAAAAACAAACACGCGTTAGCCCTGAATAATATATCCCGAGCTACTAACATCGTTTTGTTCGCACCTCGGGATCGGCCTAATCGCGTCTCGCCCTTCACACTCCGCACGATTGCCCTGTCTAGACGTCTTCGTTAGACGACTGTATAGACTGTAACAGTACGGCCCTATTGACCGGGTCTGACGCCATACTCACTAATACCCAGTGTGGTCGTTCATAATCATAATGCAGCTTGCCTCGTGCTTGCCACTGACGCGGAGAATTACGAATTTACCCGAACGATCACGACGCTTCCCGAATACACTCGGTGATACAAATTTGTTCTTTATTTCCACGTGCATTCAGAAGTTTATTGCGTAATAATGTTAAAGAGTATTCATTTTGAAATATTAAAGCTTTTTTCTGTAAAAAAGTTATTTACGTTAATAAAGATAAAAAGATAAAAGTG